TACAAAAGGTTTGAGTCGGGGGAGAGTGGACTACATGTGTAACAAGCTGGGATTATATGATATATACTCACCAGCTTGAGGGGGAGTGTTAGTGGTGTTAGTGAAGGGGTATTTTGGTCTTTGCACTTGTTGAGAATGTTGATGTGTACTGTTATATTAGTTCGAGTGCCTCTTACTTAAATAAGGGCACTTAAGTCTTTTCCAATAAGTTAATAATATAATAACAGGTCTGGCTGAATCTAGGGATAACTTTTTCTCTAATTCGAACCGAACCTTCTCTCTTTTCTCTCTTCTTCTTTCCTCTCCTACTTCTACTTCTTGCTGTTCACTTTACTTTACAGTCAACGAACAAGAAAGAATTCTAGGGCAGGTCGAACTTCAACAAATGTATTAAACCAGAATGATAGAAACACCTATGAAGACATGGAAGTCATCGAGGGCCTGCGATGAACCCATAAGCCATCATAGGCTTGTGATGAGCTCAAAGCCATCACGGACCTGTGATGGACTAAGGAACCACTGCACGACCACAACAAGCCAAAGTCACTCACGACAAGACATCCAACAAATTAAGTGAATATGTCAGGTTAGCTTTGACATCATCCATGCCACGTCAATACAGGAGACCCGTAAGGGGAAGTAGCGCACATGTATCATGAGAATCCTCGGATGAAAGGAAACTTCATCCTAGGAAGATCTCGCGTGACACATGGAGAACCCCCAACAATGTCCTCATAACAACCAACACCGAATCAAAGATCCCCTTACCAAATAGGAATCAAACCCCTTTTGGTTCCTTCCCTTCAGGGACTCGGGGTCTCCCCTTATAAGAAGGCGTATAAACTGTAATCGACACACGATTCTATCTATTCTAAGACCCCTGTTTGTCTTTCACTACCTAACAAAAGCCGTCCCATCTTGCCCCTTCAGATGCATAAAACACTCAACAAACAGGCATTGTGGAGCAACCTGCAATACATGGGGTAGAACCACCCCTCAATGACCCGAAATGACGCAAGAGTACATACAGAGGCCTTCAGAAGTGTTTCTTGATAGTAAGCATTATTGCCAAGGGCTGAAAATCAAATCTAACCGTGAACAAAAAGCCTACCTCTTGATAAAGTCCTTCCTATCAAGAAACAGGGGGGATAATAACAATCATACTAGAACTGACCAGTCCTAACACACAACGCGCTCCAAAACAAACACACCAGCAGCAACATTTTTCTTTTCTTCTCCCCCGAATTAAGCTCAAACTTTCAGGATCCCCACAACAGATGAACAATAGAAATAGATCCATTCATACCTCTGATATCCAGCCAACATACTATCAAACAAAAGCACCAAGCCAAACACCCCAACCTGAGCCCCAACGACTATAGTCACCAAAAACCTACATGATGCCCAACCTCAAGAGATAACCAGTACTTGGACGAAACAAAACTCAGAATCACCTCTCCTCACCCCAGCCATAACACCCCAGCTGATGACAAAACATGCAATAAAAGAAGTAAAGCAAGCGCACCGGCCGCGGGAATGCTTATTGATAAGAATACTATTACTAATAAACAGGGGGGCTAATTGTAAGTACATGTGGTTCCCCATGTCTGTGATCACGATGAAGGTATTAAATCAGAACGACAGAAACACCTATGATGACATGGAAGTCATTGAGGGCCTACGATGAACCCATAACCCATCACATGCTTGCGATGAGCTTAAAGCCATCATAGACCTGCAATGGACTAAGGAACCACCGCGTGACTACAACAAGCCAAAGTCACTCACGATAAGACATCAAACAAATTAATTGAATACGTCAAATTAGCTCTGACGTCATCTGTGCCACGTCAATACAGGAGACTCGTAAGGGGAAGTAGCGCACGTGTATCATGAGAATCCTTGGACGAAGGAAACTTCGTCCTAGGAAGATCTCGCGCGACATGTGGCGAACCCCCAGCAGTGAACTCCTGACAACCGACACCGAATCAAAGATCTCCTTTCCAAATAGGAATCAAACCCCTTTTGGCTCCTTCCCCTCAGGGCCTCAAGGTCTCCCCTTATAAAAAGGGGAATAAACCGTGACCGGCACACGATTCTATCTATTTTGAGACCCCTATTTGTCTTCACTACCTAATAACCTTTGGCCTTTCTTTGTCCTTCAAGGAGACCACCACGCTTAGCCTTACCACCCCACTTACACTTGGGGTTCCTATCCTATCTATGTTCCTTTTTGTGTTCGAGATATGTCTAGTTTAGCATAGGTATGTAGCTTGTGTATAGATTATTTTATGATACCATCTAATTTTATTTATTTATTTACTTATCCATATTTTTCTTTCAGATTGCAATGGATGAGAAAGAATCCATCTTGGGTAGTATACCTGAAGATCTTAAGGAGAAGGGTTCCATGCTGCATGCTTCTCTTATAGATGGGAAGGTAAAATGGCAAAATTTTTTTCCATCAGTAACTTTTGTTTTCAGTGCAAGGCCAGGGATGAAGATATCCTCCTCTCCTTGTTTCTAAACCATTTTATGTAAATGTTATACATGCTCTAGTTTCTTGGGCTTTTAGAAACTTCCTTTCAAATCAGTGTCTCAAATTCCAAAGCTTTTTTTGGGCAATGTTGTTAAAGAATTGGAGTTTGGACTTAGAAGCTTAAAAAATGAAGAAGAGAAAAAGTTTTTATGGTTGACTTGGTCCACCATGGTATATCATCTTGCAAGAGCACAACTGGTTTGAGCCTTATATTTCATTTTACTTTTTGTTATTTTTTTATCAGCTACGTTAACATCTATTTGATCAGTAGTTCCCGGAGATAGGTTTTTAAACGCATTGTATAATTCTTCTGTTTGATAAAAGACAATTGCTCCAAGTGCCTGTAGGATTTACAGGACATATTTAATTTAATTTTCCAGGGCAGGTTGCAGAGCCTTCTGGCATCAATCAAAGATAATGACCCAGATAGAGTATCTGTAGATCTTGCATCATCATTGGATACTGTTGCAGAGTTGGAATTATTACAAGTAATATTTACTATCCATGGTGTGTTTTTTTCCCAAATAAGCTAGTTAATCCATAACAGGAAATTTGTATTTCGGCAACCAATGGCAGTATTTGGACCTATGATGTTGATGTCTAATGGTTTCTCCATGTTCTCCTGAATGTGTTGTTACTTTGTAGTGGAAAACTAGAAATGTTTATGATTATTGTTGTTAGTGTTTATTAACTTGTTATTTAAAGGAGAAATTTGGGCACAGTTATTTTGAGCTAACCTAAATTCTGAATGGGTCTTGGCTCGGTTCAGGAGCCCCTAATTATTTGTTCTGCATTTTTAATTATACTTATGGTTATCTATCAAAAAAAAAAAAGGAGTAATTGGTCACATCATGATTTTGATAGGAGAGAAAACTGAAGGACAAAACATATTCTCGTTTTCAATGATCAAAAGGAGTGATTTTATCTTTTAAAATATCTACCATTTTTGGGTAATAATTAAGGGTGTGGCCCTTTGTAAAAATGGGATGTGCTCAAATGACAGCCTCTAAACATTAGTAAAAAATTACATGTTTTGTAAGACAAATGACTCCTATATGTTGATTTTTATCATTATAAACATTGGTTTCTTTGTCTTTTCACCAAGGATGTACCCGGTTTATCAAAAATGGTATATGTCTAGATTAGTCTTCTTTATTTATTTGGCTACCTGATTAATGATAGTAATAAGATGTAAATATGTGAAACTTCTCAACAGTTCCATTCTTGAACAGGCTCCAGGTTTGTCATTTTTGTTGCCCGAGCAATACTTAAAATACCCAAGGTATAAATTGTGAATACCAAACATTTCATTCATATATTTTTTTGGGTTACAGATTTGCATGCATATGTACATGCATACATGCATACATGCATACATACATATATGTATATATTGTTAATATGTGATCTTGCACCCCTACATCTGACAAAAGAGCTAACTTAGCAATGCTGGTGAATCACATTAGTATCTTTTGCTGTATTAATCGACAAAAGAAATCATATGAATAAATTCTATGGTATTGTTTTGTTTCATTCTCACCTAGTAAAGCTAGCTTGTGTATGACGATTAACAATTAGCTAGTCCGTTTTTAGGGACTCTGTGGCCCTTTCAGGGGGCAAATATAGATGTAGTTCAGTTAAATGAAGCCTAGGTATACTAAGATGAAATTTTAGAACAACTAGTAATATGGTTGAAGTGTAAAATTATATATTAGGTTTTAAATCTTATAATAATAGAGTGCATTGATGGAATATTGATTTCACTTTCATTTATAGTTACTACTTTGAATTCCAAAACTGCTGAATAAAGTTAAACATCCTTTGATCCTGACATTTTAAATTGGAAGATTATATTCAGTTTATTCTTCTTTTGATAAACATTGATAAATGAATTATATAGAGAAAATATGTGCTAGACATAACTCAAAAGCAGAAGAAATCCAAAATCGTAAATGGCTCTAGAATATGATGGAAGAGCATGCATGCATAGATCCCCTTCTAATCCAAGCATAGCTGGAGTATCACCAATCAACCACATATCTTTGCATGTGCAGAATATTCATGGACAATGCAAGGATTGGATCCTCCTTTGTGACATGGAAAACTTTTTCATGCCCCCAATCACCCACATTTGCCATTTGATTGCTTGAATCATTCTTCATTCTTCATCCTTCATCTCTAGCAAAAGTATCATGAGATGTTTCATGAATCATGGACTAGTAACAATATTATTCACTTCTGATCTGCCTCTCCTATAACCCCTAGATAAGAGAAATCAAACCACCTTTTCAGAGTAGGAAGACTATGTGCAAATACTATCTGCCATGCTTCTAATCATGACAGAAATGGAATTACATTTGTCCTTGAATAAATCTTGTTTCCCTTAGCACACCAGAGTTCTGGATGCTGCAGGGCCTCAAAGGAATGGATTTTGCTTTTTTTTTTTTTTGGGAGGGTGGTGGTGGTCAATGGAAGTGTATATGCCCCTATAGTAACTCTTTTTTTTGGTAAGCCTCTTATAATAACTTTAGTAGGGTCATGCATCACACTAGGAGAAGAAAGGATAACATAGCCCCACAATAGAGTTTCCTGGAATCTCTTCTAGAGAAGGAAAGTCAAACTTGTTCTAAGAAGTTAAAGACTTCTCAGTTAAAGCAACTCTTCTTTTAACCTGAAGCAACTAAATAACATTAACTTGGATAGAATCAATTGATCACTTGATGAAAAAATAACCTCAAAATTATTTCATGAGGAAGTCACTTGGTTAGCAGATAACCTGTTTTATTAAGTTTCTAATCTCCTTATAACCAAACAAATACGATGCAATAAATAAAGCAAAATTCAACAAGACTAGAGATTGAATAATTCAAATATTCAAACTAGGAAAGGATAGGATCAGTAATGAAGCCATCTGTAGAAACCTAGGAGTAGCTCCAATATGTGATAAAATGAGAGATAGTAGACTAAGATGGTTTGGTCACGTGCATAGAAGACCACCGACAGCTCCAGTTAGAAGAAGAGATTTGTTACAAGTGGAAGGGCCTAGAAGAGCTAGGGGTAGACCGAAAAGGACATGGGTAGAAGTAGTAAAATGATTCAATCACTAATATTTAATGGTGGATATGGCTTTTGTTAGAATGCTTGAGTCAGGGGTATTTTGGTCATTCTGGTGTATCTTCTTGAAAGTGAAAGGTCTATTGTATCTGAGTTTAAGTTATGTGTCCCATCTTCTATGAGGGACAAAATTGTCTTTCTTGTAACTCAAGTTTTATGAATAAAAGTCAAAGTGGGTCGGCTAGGAGAGTGAACCCCTAGACCTTGTGTGTAATCAGTTCTGCAGTATGAAGAACAAGTGTTCGATGAAATGACTGAGTAATTTCAGCAGTGGTGTGTTGATGGTAAATGGTTCTGCAGTGTGCAGTCCAAGTGTTTGATGTGTTGACTGAATGATTTCAGCTTTAGAGTGTAGTGTGTAATGTGCAGTTGAAGAAAGTGGGGTTGGTGGTATCATAAGTGAGACAAGGTTTACCCCAAGATCCCAACTTTCATTGGGCTAGATGCCTAGATCCTTCATCATTGTATGAGACAAGGTTTACCCCAAGATCCTTGTCCTTCCTTTCACCTCCTCATGCACCTATATGCAATAATATTTGCATTGTCAAGATTTCATTTAGTTAAGTAGGATTTTGTTTGCAGGGCTGGGTTTTAGAAGAATAAGGGCAACAAATAAAGTGTTGCTTAGATGGCCGGAGAATTGGTAATGAAAGAGTGCTCTTTGGAGGAGGTAGTTGCATACAAGTATTGGGTTGCTAGGTTTTATTGAGATTCTAGAGAGGTTATATCCACAAAAAGAATTGGTGTTTTCAAGGGCATCATACAATTTCAACAGGCATTATGTTTTCAACAGTCACGAAGGAGATGTGAGGCATCTTTTTATTTCTTGCAGTTTTGCCAAATTTGTATGAGGTTTTTCTTTTCTTTATTTGGAAAACATAGGTGGCAGCTGAGGCATCCTAACGAGATTTTTCTTTATGGCCTGCTATAGCAGGAAGCGGGAAAGGCAAAGATATTTTGGAACTGTATTCCTTTTGCACTCCGTTGGAATATTTGGAAGGAGAGGAATAAAAAAAATGAGGGGAAACAAAAGGGCTATGCAAGCCTTAGTTTGGAAATGGAAAATTTGATTTTTGACTGGATTATAGTGCATCCAGACTTTGTTAATGTTCTGAGTGCTAGTTTTGGATTGTGATTTTGTGATTTTGGTCTACATTAGAGATGCTAGTGCAGTCTATATAATTGGTCATGTTTGTTGGTGTTTTATTTTATGTTCTTGATGTTATAGTTTGGTTTTGGGTGTTACTCATTTCCCCTTCCAAACTATATGTTTTTGTCTCATAATGGATAAGAATGTGCTTTCAGATGGCTCCCTTCTATCCAATTACATGGTGCACAGAGGATGGATTCCTTAGTGGCCTCTTCAAATAGGGGGATGTAAAAAAAATTCCATAACCATTTGTGATACAGTGAGTTCATACTCAAAGGATGCAAAGAGACCTAAAAAAAAATAAAAAACGTATTTGGTTGAAGAAGCTGGACTGTATACTATAAAGTCATCTAAAAGACAGTCTATTTTTTTTTTGTTTCAGTTCTTTTCACTAACCAGAGTGATAATTTCTACTGGGTTCTAATAGGTGTTTATGGTCTTAATTCACCTGCTAGAAGAAGTATCTTTTGGGAGGAATTGGAATCAATTGGCACCAATGTTATACTTTCTTGGTGCACTGGGGGTGGTTTTAACATCAACAGGTGCGTGCATAGAAAATCTTCAAGTGGCAGAGCAACCAGAAGTATGAGATTTTTCTTCATTCATAAATTGGTTTCAGCTTCGGGACCTTCCCCTTCAAATGATCATTATACTTGGTCAAACATGCAGGAGAACATTGTTACTAGCAGGATTGATAAGTATCTTATTTCAGAAGATTGGGAAGAGCAATATCCGATGACCACTCAACAGGTTGGTTTGAGATGTACCTCAGACCACTAGCTGGTGCTGTTGTAAATGGAGATAGTGAAGATGGGCAGGCATCCATTTAGATTGAAGAAGTCCTGGATATTTCACAAGACTTTTGAAGGGAAGTAACCAAGTTGTAGCAGGAATTCAATATGGAGGGATGGGCTGAGCTTAGGTTTATGTAGAAATTGAAATATCTAAAAAGAAGCTGAAGAGCTGGAGCAAGGGGAATTTCAGACTGGTTGAGGGGGAAAAGAAAACCCTGAATTTAGAATTTGATAAGCTGGATGAGGAGGAGCAGTTTGCAGGACTAAGTGAAGAAGGAAGAGTGAGAAGGAACTGGGAGAAGCTAACTTTAAGGAAAGAAATGTACTGGAGACAATGCTTTGAGGGTTACTTGGCTTAGGGAAGGCAACATCAGCGTCACCTTCTTTCATAGATATGCTTTGGGCAGATGCAAGAAGAACTTTATTGGTAAGTTAAGAGTCAGAAACCGGGAGATTACAGACCAATTGGAAATTGCAGAGGCAATACTGAATTATTATGAGGACCTTTTCTCTTCGCAAGAAAGTTGGCAGCCAAAGCTAGTTAGTTGGGATGGACCTACCCTAACAGAGGAGAAAAGTAGGTGGCTTGAGAGGGTCTTTGAGAAGTCAGAAGTGAAGGAGGCGGTGCTTGGTTTAAATGGTTATAGGCACCCGGACCTGATGGATTCCCTACTTTTCTTTCAGGTCTGCTGGGATATAATTAAAGGGGACATCATGGATGTGTTTGATGATTTCTTCCATTCCACCATCAACAAAAGCACTAAATTCACCTTCATCTCATTAATTCCAAAGAAGAATGGGGCAGTAGAGGTAAAAGATTTCAGACCTTATTAGTCTTACTGGAAGCTTGTTTGTACGAGCTGAAAGGCTCAAGGAAGTAATTGGGAGTGGGCGGGGGGGTGTTGTGGCCTCTAATCAGTGTGCTTTCTTCAAGGTAGGAAGATAATTGATGTTGTTATCATTGCCAACGAATGTGTAGAAGATAGAAGATCTCAAGGAAAAGAGGAGGTGGTATTCAAACTTGATTTAGAGAAGGCCTTTGATAGGGTGGATTGGCACTGCTTAGCTTTTATGGTGATTGAAAGGGTGGTGACAGATGGGTGAAGATGGGATATATCAAACACCCTTGGTTATCCATCTTAGTTAATGGCAAACCGAAAGGCTATTTTAGAGCTGCTCAGGGAATCGGGCAAAACTTCCCTTTTTCCCCTTTTCTTTTCTCCTTGGATGTTGATGTGTTGAGTCTCTTCATTGGGAAGGCTGTTAGCAGACAGTTTCTTAAAGGCTTTGAAGTAGGGAGGGAGAGGGTATGCATTTCTCATCTCAGTCTGCAGATGATACCGTTCTTTTTCTTGATGTAGATGAACATCTCAAGAGAGTTGTTTTGGTATCGTGGAGCTTCAAATTTTGGATGTTTATTTTAAGCAATTTCTATGATCTTAAAGAACAAAATTATGAATATGATAATTTCATGTTGAATTTAAACAAAGGAGAGCCTGATAACTTTGTTCGCTGCCTTGGTAAAATCTTGGATGACAAGAATTAAAACATGAGTTTGAGTCAGAAAAAAAATGCCAAAGGTTAGTTCCATGCCCAGTCCACCCTTCCCAAGATCCCAAGTCAGGACTACCAACATTGGGGTAATATTTTAGACCTCAGTGTATCTATATCTATGTCTATGTCAATCTATCAATCTATCAGCATGTGTATATGTTTATTACTATATATACTATCTATCTCTTTCTATCTATTCATATGTATTACGTATCCTCTAAATGCTTCTGCGATGATTCTTATCTGCATGTATTGCTGGATCATAGAGCACTTACACAACTGAAATAGAAATTGTTTCCATATATTTTGTAGGCTCACTGGGAGAGGAACTGTAGAGTTCACGATCGAGAAGGGAGATGGTACAACTTTTTCTCCTGCTTCTGGTGGTGAACCAAGAAAATCTGCTATAATACAGGTTTGCTTAAGTTCATATTATTCAAAGAAAGAAATATATCTTGTAAGCATCTGTAACTTTATATGCTTTTTCAGACATCAACATAATTTACCTTCAAAGAATTATTGATAATTGATTTATGTTGACAGCTGAGAAAAGCTTGTCTTGCATAACCTCATGTTAATCGTTGATTCCCATCATCTGGTGGTACTTATGCAATTGTAATTAAAATATCTTTTTATTTGGCTCACTACAACTTTTCATCATAGGTAATGATTAGGCACATCCTGTTTTTGATAAAGAGGGAATACCCCTAACCATTGGTCAAAGATACATGATTAAAAAAATCCACCCCCATGTTTTGACTTTTATCACTATCAGCATTAGTTTCTTTGTCTTTTCACCAGGGATGTTTCAGGTTTATCAAAAATGGAATGTTCCCAAGTCAGTATCTTTTTTTTGAAGATAAAAATATTATTAAAAACTAAAAAAAAAGCAATTACAAGGAAGGTAATAAGCAATCACCCAAGGGAAAGCAAAAAAAACCACCCCCATGTTTTGACTTTTATCACTATCAGCATTAGTTTCTTTGTCTTTTCACCAGGGATGTTTCAGGTTTATCAAAAATGGAATGTTCCCAAGTCAGTATCTTTTTTTTGAAGATAAAAAAATTATTAAAAACTAAAAAAAAAGCAATTACAAGGAAGGTAATAAGCAATCGCCCAAGGGAAAGCAAAAACAGAGACCCAAGCAAAGAAACCCCAAGCCCGAAAAATCAGCCCAAACAAGAATCCTCGACCCAGCTAAAAAGAAAAAAAAAAACCACACTGCAACACTAAGGCAAAAACCAGACCCTACCACCCAAAACTGACACCCTCTGGAAACCCAGCCCTACTGCCCAAACCCAAACAAGACTCCCACTCAATGACTCTTCTTATCAGCTTTTTGAGAACAATCTTCTAGTCGCCTTTTCTCTGATCTTTTGTGTTTTTTGACGGGCTTATTAGGCCCAATGCCATATAAGCCTCCTTTTATCCGTGCAAAGACTTTGGAAACTGGAACTTGCTGCTAACTTTTTTCTGTTCTTTTGAGTTCTGAATCTCCTAACTGTATCGAGTATTTTCACGGCTTCTTCCAGACTCCCATCTGGCTTTTGACCCCTATCTGAAATCCAAATCCTCTCAGATAAATCCTCCTCCTTGAAATCATCCCCACCATCTCTAGTTGCCCTGCCATCTCCAACAATCACTTCCTTTTCAGAATTGTTGGAATTGCCGTCAAGCACTGGAATGGCACTACTCTCTTTTTCCCCATTTTTTCCTCTACCGATCTGAATGCTTCCTTGGCGAACTCCTTCCCTCCTAAGAAAAACAGCCCCAGAATTTTACTGACTTCCACTTCCTTGTTTATCATTTTCTCTAAATCACAATTCTTCTCTACCTCATGGACCTCATCCATCATAAGTTCTTCATCAACCTTCCCTAAACTTCCTTCTCTACTTTCTTCTAAGGGGAAAGTTCTATACTCCTTTTTGTAAATTCGAACTCCATCTCCAATCTTATCTTCTTCCTCCTCCCTTCCCTTTTTTTCAACCCCTGATTCTTTCTCCCCTCTTTTCTTCTCAATGAAATCTTTTTCCACTTCTCATGCTCCCTTCCCCACTAATTCTTCCAACGCTCTCATTTCCTATGCTTGTAAAGACCCGACCACCTCATCTCCTCGATTGATTTCCCCCTCTTCTTCTGCTCTATTTTCATCCCTCTTCAGTAAAACCTCAGTCATCTTTCTGCCATTCTCTTCTTCTACCGTTGCTTTCTCTCCCCAATCATCCTTTTCATCTCTTTCCTGAATTCCTCCCTCAACCTCAGTGACGTCCTGTTTGTCTTCGTCATCCTCCCCTTCTTCTTAATGCAAATGATTGTCTTCATAGTCCACCTGAGTCTCCCCTTCTCTTCCGCACTTATGTTTCCACCCCCGTCCTCCTGAATCGTCGTTGCAACCTTATTTTTAGGGAGGAACACTGCTGTTCTCTAAACATATCCTTCGGCATTGCAATCGTCCTCTTCTGTCACCACTTTCTCTATCGCCTCTTTAATCTGCTTACCCCCAATATACTCTTGGGCCAAACCACCATTGTAGCTGGGCCCACCCTTTGATTCCAGACTATAATTTACCTCTTCTAGTCCCACTATTAAGTCCACTTGTTCCAAGCCCATCACTCCCCAAGAATATCATGTGTGGACCCACTAAAGCCCGGCCCAGCTTGCTGTCCTTGTTCATTTCTCTCTCGAAACACCTGTTCATCTTCCTCTTCTCCCTTTTCGTTATTCTTCTTGAAATCAGCATTACAGCAAGCCTTTTTTGACCATAATATTCAATGAGTCTCGAGCTTCCAGGCCCAGCAACCCTTCGTTTTCTCTCTTCCCCCCCCGACCTTCCAATTTGCATGTGCCATGTGTACTCCACCAAACCCTACCTGCCTTGTCTTCAACTTCTCGCCTTCCACACCACAGGGACGCTTCAGCTTCCGATGCCACCCAGAGTTTCCACCATCTCCCTTCAGCAAAAAGTCGATCATGCAGGGAATCCTGTCCGATTTGGCACCTGCAACTGTAATCTTCACTGCGTGAAGGTCAGCAGTGCAAACATCTTCTAATACTCCACCACACGCATCCGCAAGCTTATTGAAGACTTGATCCAACCATAAGTTAGAAGGCAGACCAAAGATCAAGATCACACTCCCGCCAGGTATTGAAATTTCATTGCAAGAAGATGTCCAGTTCGCCACCATCACCGCACCTTCCAAAGTTTCAACAGTCATGCACTTTGTCTTCGAATTTCCACTATCCAGAATTGCTTTACTGTCATCGAAAGGAAAAATCATAGCTGAATCCCCATTTGGAATTCTAATCATAACATTGTTAAGAATCCTTTTCTAATCTCTAACCTTCTTCTTTTCTGTCACCGCCAACATTTTGCTTCAATCTTCCTTGCCTCCTCTCAAAACGAACTTTGGGATGCCATCAGCTCCTTCAATCGTTATCTCCTGATTCCCCTTATGTTGTTCTGACTCCTGAAACTTCTTCCCCCCGCCCCCCCAGCCAGCACTTTTCCTCATACTCTTGCAGTACCTCTGCAACTGCAACCCATCCCTGTCTGTTTCTTCCTTCTGGCAAGCAGATAGTTTGTCTCTTACCATTATCCAACTTTTCATCTATCCTCATAAAACATCCTTTGTTATTGACTTTTTTCTCGATTGAGAAAAATTTCCATTCCTTTCTCAGCTCACTCCTCCAGCTAGGTTTGGTCTCTGTATGGATTGCTCCCTTGACAAATCCTTTAATCCAACCTGCAACGGCTTCGCATATGAAAACCTTAGCCCTCCCTTCCTCTTCAAACATCAATACTTCTCCCTCTTTACATTCCTCTACCAGAAATCTCTTCTTCTCCACCGCAAATCTTTTCCTCCAAATCATTTCCTTACTTGTTAACCTTGCTAATCAGTACCTTTTTCTGGTGACCAAAACTGAATTGTTACAAAATACAAAATTCACAGAGATTAACCCCTCACCACCACATCAACCATGGGACAACTATAGGTCATCACTATGTAGAAAAAAGCGAATACCAAATTACCAATTGATCATGATGATGACCAACCATGAGTTAACTGCAGTCTGGGCATGATATTTATTATAAATGCACATATTTTTAAACAAATGACACCTTATGGATGATACTTCCACAAGACCTTCTGGTTTGTCCAAATCCTAGCATTTGTTTCAAGCCAACTGTGGTAAAGCATGCTACAAAAGGCCAATCTTGGGATTAAGGCAGGGATGAGGCTGCCTTTGAAGCTTTGTATGGAAGAAGCTCTCATAACCAGGTCCATCAAGCTGCAATTCTTTAACATTGCTTCCAAATAGCATTGGAGAAACCACATTTGAAAATGAAATGGTACAAATTCTTCCTATGGTTAGGATAGAAAATATATCCATATTGAATAGAGAATATGGAACTAAAAGGGCCATTATCCAAGGATGGTCTTGACTAACCAGGACCTTGGGAGGGGTAGACTAGATAGTGGACACAAATCTAACCTTTGGCCTTTTTTTTGGGCACAAAGTGGTCACTTCAGACTTGAACCTGTGTTCTCATGCTCGTCAGAAGAGGATTTTACCATTACACCAAGAAATGGCTCCTGAATAGAGATAATAAATATGCATGAGATAATTCTACCTAGGTTGGTAGTCCTCAGGTGAAAAGCCACCAACTGATAAAACTGTATAGGGATGTGGTGTTTGAACCACATTAAATGCAGCCAAGGGACTCTATTACCATTTTCTTGAATTAGACCCCGGACTAATTGAATAGAAAAATCACTAGTAGGGGAGTTAGACCAATATAGCATATCACCCTCCAAGGACTTTCTTCTAGCCATCAGATCTATTGACACTGTGTCAGCTTTTTGGTATTTGTGCTGCTTTATTAGGACTGGAATAATTTAAGCATGTAGTTCTTCTTAAGATTCCCAACCATATTTGTACATAGCTGTTTGAATCTTCTTTTTGGTTTGCATTTTGGAATCTCATGGTGCCCATATGTTTCCAATCATTAATGGGCTTTTTTTTTTACTTTTTATTTTCATGAGAAACCTATAACATTCTACTACTGCTTGCCATTTTTAATGACTGAACTTTTGGCCTAGAAGGCAAATTAGAATCCCAACTGAGAATCCCTTGTTGATGTACAACTTATATATCATTGTACATGGGGTAAGTTGGTGATACATAATATCTTTTTTTGGAAGGGTTCTAGTTCACTTATTATAATAATTGAAAAAAGAAAATGATACCAAGGCAATTGATACCATTGGTAGAAAATATTAATACAAAACCTGTGTAGGGCTTCTGGTGGAATTCTTGATAGTGCAGTTAACCATGCAATCTTCTTATATTCTTTGTAAGTAGATAACTTTGGAGTATGTACTATAAAGCTATACTTGTCCAAGGAATTGTTAGGTTACCTTCTATTTAGCCCATTTGTTCAGGTTTCTCATATATGATCCCTTGGCTTATCCTTACCTTGCTCTGGTAGTCTATTATACAAATGTAGTATTCTGACTGTAGCTGAAACCAAAAGGGTTAAGGTTGAGTTGAGTTGAGTTGAGGTGTTCTGAATGCCTGGATGAAATGACTATCTCCTTGGTGCTATTACATAGCCACTGAACTAATCAGTGAGGTACATTTGAAATAGAGTTGAAATCTAAATACCATACTGGTTTTATGGTCTAACAGCCAAGTGAATGGATATTTTGCTCATATTGACACATAAGCAATGCTTGTGGTAGCCTTACTCTTAGTTGGTTTTGATACCATCTATATAAAAATTTGGCTCTTGGCCCAACAAAGGGTGTCCAAATAGTTGAGCAGTCTATGTCAATGTGTGTGTCAATAGCAAATGGCTATGGAATTGGGGATATTTTTTGGACAAGAAGATCTGATATTTTAATATTTCAGTGGTATTCATTTTTTACTGTGGTGAGTTGAAGCTTACTTCATCAGTAATCCACATCTTCAGGTTGTTCTTGATGGGTATTCAGCACCACTGACAGCAGGGAACTTTGCAAAACTGGTAAGGTAGTTGAACCTCACTTGAACCTTGTGATTTTTGTTTCTTTACAAACATATCTACCATGTGATCCATCACTATGTATATTTCCAATATTCTAATGACAGCTTTCTTTTCAATTCATAGTTAGTAGACCTTCAATGTAAATATATGACAACAATGTTAAATTTTGCATGGTAAGTTGGCACATTCCATTTTTGATGAACGGGGTAGTGGGCACACCCATAATTAATTGCCGGAACTTGTTTTAATAGATAAAAGTGTCCTTATGTATTAAATTTCAGGAAAAGTTACATCAAGCTGCTTCATTTTTAAGTCTTTCCCAATTTACCACTTTTTTTTTATCAATAACAGTAACTTTTATTAACATAGATTAAAGAAGGATACAGTATAAGGGAGGGGTAAAAATACTTAACCCTCCCTAACAATGTTATTTATCCATGCATGTGAGTTTGGGGGGTGCTTTTCACGCATGCACCGAGTTGGGCCGGGTTGGAGGTGCGTGTATACGCGCGCTACCTTTGTCATTGTTTCATGGGCTATTTATAGATGTCGGTTACCCCTCTTTAGCCATAATGGGCCATCTTGCGAGGTCCCCGGTTATACACTGTTTAATGGGCCATTCACATTTCTGTTATTATCAACAGTTCCATCAGCTCCTCCCCCCTTTATAACAACCTTGTCCTCAAGGTTAACGCCGGGGTAGCGTTGCTGCAGCTGACAGCAGTCTTCCCATGTGGCGTTTTCCGGTGGGAGGTGTTTCCATACCACCAAGGCTTGCTGAACTGTCTTATTGCCATCTCGTACCCACCTGAAGTCAGCAATATGATCCATCTCTGGCTGTAGAACCCCCTCCTCAGAAAATTCTGGTAAGCAAGCTGAAACTGAATGGACTGGCCCTAAGTGTTTCTTCAATAGGGATACATGAAATGTGGGGTGTATCTTGGAAGAGCTAGGGAGGTCTAATTTATAAGCCACCTTCCCCACCCTGGTTACAATACGAAATGGACCATAAAATCTGGGAGCTAACTTTTGAGAGGACCTTTTGGCCAAGCTACTTTGCTTGTAGGGCCTCAGCTTCAAATAAATCCTGTCTACCTCGAACTGAACATCTCGATGTTTCTTATCATAGTAGGCCTTCATTTGTTGTTGTGCCTTTAGCAAGTTGGTCTTTAAGTCCTTAAGGACGGCATCTCTGTCTGCTAGATGTGCATCTACTTCAGCCACAGCTGTGGATCCCTTCTCATATGGTAGTAGAGAGGGTGGTTCCTTTCCATACAGGGCATGAAAAGGTGACATGCCAATTGAAACATGAAAAGAGGTGTTATACCAGTATTCCGCCCATGACAGCCACTTGGCCCACTTCCCGGGGTAATCACTAGTAAAGCACCGAAGGTAGGTCTCAAGGGAACGATTCACCACCTCTGTCTGTCCATCAGACTGTGGATGATATCTGGTGGAATGATGGAGTTTTGTTCCTTGCACCTGGAAGTATTCACCCCAGAAACGGCTCATGAAAGCTGAGCCCTGATCAGAGATAATTGCCTTGGGTGTGCCATGTAAACGGGAGACCTCCTGGACAAAAAATTTGGCCACTTCTGCTGCAGTGTATGGATGGGAAAGTGGTGCAAAATGCGCATAGTTAGACAGCCGATCCACAAAAACAACAATGACTGTCTTTCCGCCGGAAGGAGGTAGACCAGTAATGAAATCCATAGTTACCTCATCCCAAACTTGTTCCGGGAGCGGTATAGGCTGTAACAGCCCAGCCGGGGACTGATTGTCATATTTATGCCGCTGAAATATTGCACACATGGCAACATACTCCCGAACCTGTCTCTTCATCCCCACCCAATAAAAATGAGATGATACCCTACGATATGTTCGTAGGATGCCAGAATGTCCACCCACTGGTGAAGCATGAAAAAGCTCTAAGAGGGCCGGAATGTGGGTTGAGTTACCTGGCAGCACCGTTCTGCCCTTGTACATCAGAGTTTCATTACAAAGGGAGAAACCCGGTGGGACTTGTTCTCCATTTCGGATCTGGTTTCTGATCTCAGTGAGACGAGCATCATTAGAGGCTTCCTCCCTCAGCTGACTCATAAATGGATAAGTGAGCCTAGAAGCTACCATCTGACAGCACTCATGTTGCCTTGACAAAGCATCTGCAACCAGATTGGACGGACCTGTTTTGTATTCTATTGTGAAGTCAAAGCCTAGCAACTTATATAGCCACTTCTGTTGTATCTCATTCAGAACCGGTTGTTCTATTAGATATCGTAAGCTTCTTTGGTCGGAGCGAATGGTGAAAGCTTGACCCAGTAAGTACCCCCTCCATTTCTGCACAACCAACACAACCGCCATTAACTCCTTTTCATACGTGGATTTCCCCTGGGCCAATGGTCATAGAACCTTGCTGAAATAGGCAATGGGCTTTTCGTCTTGTAACAGTACCATCCCTACGCCCTTTCCTGATGCATCTGATTCCACTACAAACGGTTTGGAAAAATCTGGCAGGGACAAGATGGGGGGTGTCGTAAGGGCCATCTTCAGTCTCATGAAGGCATTCTCCGCTTCTTCCGACCACTGGAATGCATTCTTCTTGAGCAAGTTTGTTAGTGGAGCCGTCATAGTGCTGTACCCCTTAATGAACCGCCGGTAATACCTAGTAAGACCCAAAAAACCCCTAAGATCCTTGACAGTTGTGGGCTTGGGCCACTGCAACACACAATTTATCTTTTCTGGATCAGCTCTGACTGTGCCTGCTGTGACAATGTTTCCCAAATAGTGAATTTGTGTCTGTCCAAAATCACATTTCGACTTTTTAGCATACAACTGATTGGCCCTAAGAACGTCAAAGGTGGAGCGTAAATGCTGCATGTGAGACTCCCAGTCCGTGCTGTAAACTAAAATGTCATAAAAAAATACCAGAATAAAACGCCGCAAATACGGTTGGAAGATCTCATTCATTAAGGACTGGAAAGTAGATGGAGCATTAGTAAGGCCGAAAGGCATCACCAAAATTTCATAGTGGCCCTCGTGCGTCCTAAATGCCGTCTTATAGACGTCTTGAGCATGTACTCTAATCTGATGGTACCCTGCCCGTAAATCTAATTTGGAGAAAGTTTTAGGCATACCAAGCTCATCCAGCAGTTCATCAATTATGGGAATTGGAAACTGATCTTGGACTGTAATTTTATTTAGGGCACGGTAGTCAATGCAAAAATGCCATGTGCCATCTTTCTTCTTAACCAAGAGGACAGGTGCTGAATACGGACTGTTACTAAACTGTATCATGCCTTTGTCCCTGAGTTCCTTCACCAATCTTTCTATTGCCGTTTTCTGGCAAATGCGGATACCGATAGGGTCACACATTAGCAGGCGCAACACCTAGTTTGATTGGAATCCGATGGTCATGTGACCGCACTGGCGGCAAGCCAGAGGGTTCATGGAAAACATCTGAGTAACCAATAAGTAGTAACTGCAGTTCGATTTCCCGTGTTTCAGACATGTGTTCACTGTCACTCCTGGACAAGGTTGGGCCTGGCTGACTCACACCCAAGCTTGTTAAAATAACTCCCTTCGCACTAGTTCCTGACTTCAGAATAAGGTTTAACCTCTCTTGTTGTATCGGCTCGGGTTCCCAACCTTTAAGGTGACACTGTTTGCTTTGGCTCTGGAAATCCATCGTGAGGTGGGCCCAATCACATGTTACTGGCCCTGTAGAGAAGATGGGCCGAGTGGCCCATAGGCTATTTATCCTTTTTATCTTTTATGTTCTTTGCTGTAATGGGCCTTAATCTGGTCTTTATTCTTTCTTATGTTATGTCTTTTTAATTTTCTGCCTAACTAGGGGCTTCTCTGTAAATTACTAAAGTTTAACTTAATGAAATAGAACTAAGGGAGTAAGAGAAGGGATTATGTTAGAAAATCTCTCTCTGAACCCAAGTTGCTGCCACCTTTTTCTTCTTCTTCTTTCCTCTTGAACTCTGATTTTCGCTACTTTCTTTTGTATTTTTTGCAACTTTCTAAACAGTCATTTCTTCTAAAAAGGCTGTTTTTCCTCTTGGTATCGGAGCAGGCTCATTTTTCCCTTTTTTTCACCTTTTTTTCCCATAAACAGTGTGTATGGAGAACTGAATCGTGTGAATAGTTAAAGAAACCTTTTTCAATCCAGTTGTTAGTGGTTTCTGGAGAGAAGGGGACTGGTTTTGACATCCTCTAGACAGATTCAAGTGTGTTGCTCAAAACCCTAATTTTTTGGACAAATCTGATTGCGGGCCCCACAGGGAGTTTAACCTGGGCGCTCAGTGATTGAAGGCCTTCTCATTCTTCTTCTTGAAGATCGAATCAAGTGGATTGGTGTTCTATGAAGTCTACAAGGAGCGGTTGAGTTTTCTCTGTTTCTCCCAGCTTCCGGGTGTGACGTAGGTTATTTGTACGACTACATAGAGGTTGGCTCACAACACAGTTTTTGTTCTGTCTTCATTTGTTGTTATTAGAAGTTGTCTGAAGTCATTTTTTGGAGTATTTAAGAAGATGAACTCCTCAGACTTTGAAAACAAGCATGTTGCTGAATCCAGACAAGTTCTGGGAGCCTCTGTAGACTCTCTACTGGTTGTGACCACAGTCATGCTGGATGGAACTAATTATCTGGCTTGGTTACAATCATTAAAATTTCATATTTGTAGTAGAGGCAAATGGGGTTTTATCTCCGGGAGCAAAAAGGCTCATCTGGAAGATGATCCATCATATGAAAAGTGGATGCAAGAAAATTATACTGTTATTGAATGGCTTGTGAACTCAATGCAACCACAGATTAGTCAGCACTATTTGTGGATGAATTCAGCAAAGGAAATTTGGGATAGCTGTTAGACAATTTTGTATGCCCTTAGCTCCAATCGGTTTTGATGTACTTTTG